AAACTACACTCACTCCCCTCCCATTTATCATGCCTCCTCACCTTGCATCGCTCCACGAGCATTCTCACTGCTGCCTCTGCCACCTCCATCTGCCTCTCCACTCGCTCCCGTGCTGTCGGCCGCACCCCCCTCGCCTCTGCGCACGCCCCTGCTCCCACCACTCCTCCCTGCCCCTCCTTCCGCCCACCACACGCACTGCCACTCTCGCTCCCGTCCCTCTGCCGCTTCTGGCCCACGGTTTCCATGACATTGCCACTCGTGACCTTGCAAGAGGAGGTTGCGTTACTGCAGCGTTCCACAAACGAGAGCTTGAGGATGCTCTTAGGAGGAGGCGGGAACGGAGCAGTGGGGATGGTGGGGGAAGTGAGCATTTGCTCTAGGGACTCAGTGGGGGGCGGGGAAGAGGAGATGGGCGGATAGTGGAGAGGAGAGGTGGGTGAGGAAGGAGCGGGAGGGGAGGAATTCTCCATGGACAGGGAAAGGACACGTGGCGGGCTGTCACTGGCCGCAGGAAGAGACGTACAGGTTCGCACGTGCCCGTGGCAGTCCTGGTGCTCATCCACGTCATTGACTGCCAAGTCACCGTTTTCTGCCACGTCATCAACCACCTCCACGATCTCCGAATCGTCCACTGCTTCAACGATCTGAACAATCTCCTCATTGTCATACCTCACCTTGCACGGCAACATGACCTGACCAACCTTCAGAACAATCGAATACCCATCCTCCATTTGCTCTTCTTCCTCCTCCAAATCCTCTTCCTCCTCACCCTCATTTCCACTCTCCTCCCCATCTCCCTCCTCCTCCTCCCCTTCATCCTCATCCTCATCCTCACTCTCATCCTCGTCCTCATCACTGTCGCTTTCTTCTTGCTCCTTGCCTTCGGCTTTCTCTCCTACCTCCTCCTCTTCCTCCACCTCCACCTCCTCTTCCTCAATCTCCAATTCTATTTCCTCTTCAAACTCTTCCAATCCCTCCTCTTCCCCTCCCTTGTCCTCTTCGCCCTTCTCTCCCCCTTTCACGTCAGACAAGTCATCCCCTTGTCCAGCAGACTCTGCGATCGACGAATCGAACGTAATTCCATCAAGGCCGCTCGACATAAGCTCATTCATATCAGAAAACTGCGATTCAGGCTCCAAGGACTCGGTCCACGAGTCCCTCACGCCGTCCTCTTTCACTTCGTCCAATCCCGTGTATTTATTCTTGCTCGTCGCGAAGAGCTGGCGAACCATCTTCGCAGGCACGTCAATAGGTTTGCGACGAAGCACTGGCGAACATCGCGGGTGCTCGTGGTTGTGTCCGTTCCCATCCAGCTCAGCTGCCACGTCAGCATCCGCCGTCATTCTCGCAGCCACGTCACACGCGGCCAGCTCGGAGTTTACCCGCGAAGGACATGCGTCGTTAATAGCCGCAGTCTGCAGACCAAGGTAGGTCCAAAATAGAAAAACAGTCGAGTTCAAATGAAGGAACCAAGAACCACTAGAAACCAGGAATGCACACTGTGTCGAGATGCAGTGAGAAACACAGCAATAGCCGGAAAGCGTACGATGAACCGATTTGAGCGGAGGCAGGAGCAAAGAACAGGAACAAAACTGTGCAGAATCTCGAGCGTACCTCGGCTGTTCGTACTTCTTCAGAGGCTTCGGCGACCATGCTCGAGGAAACGGCAGCATCGGCAGCACCAGCAGCAGACGGTAGGAGTCTACTAGAACCTGAACCAACACCGCTCGCAGCAGCTGACTGGAGCCTGTCAGAACCGCGCGCGCTGCTCACGGCTACAGCAGTTGCCGGCTTTTCGGACGCATTAGCCTTAACTCCTGCCTTGCGAGGTTCCTGTGAGACGTTTGCCGATCCTCCCGTCGCTCTGAACGCGGGAGCCATTGCTGCTGGAGCGACGGCGACAGCGAGAGCGCCGTCAGCCGAGACGGAAGAACCGGCAATGCGAGAAGCAGACGGAGGGTGCTTATGTCGAACGGACTTCGTTTTGACGACGCCGCTGACTAAACAGTTCCCCTTGGAGCGTCTTGAAGATTCCGGCGGAGATGCGACGAAAGTCTTCCGTATCACGTTAACTCCAGTTTGAGAAAGGCACGACCGAAACTCCTCCGCTTGACTGCTCTTACGTTGGCCGAGGCTAGCGCGCCACCCCCTCGTTCGCGCGCAGGTGCGCTTAAGAATGGACGCTAGAAATAAACCCGCCAGTTGCCGAGCACCAGGGGATAATGACCCGTCGTCTATTCTAGACAGACTGCTCTTAGAGCGCGGATATAATGCCGTATTTAGGTTATTACTGGCAATATTTTTATTATTAACTTTAACGGTGCTGCTGTTGGTTAATTGGCCTGAGATAGAACAGCGCTTCAGCACGAAATTAGCTTCAGCCGAATTAGCAGCAAGATGGCTGTGAGAACAAGAAAGCCCCAGCAAGGAGTTAAAAGAAGCTGCGGGGCTTCTGTGAGCCTCCTGAGTCTCACTTCCCATATGTCCAAACAACCCTAGCTGAAAGAATTAATGGCTGAAACTGCGAACGTCAGGTCAGGTCCGCCATTCAAGAAGAGAGCTAACCAGCGGAGTGATGCCATGCGGGGAGTGGCATCATGGCATGGCGGCAGGTGAGCTGCCTTGAAGCGGACGCTTCCCGCAACCCGTTTCTTGCGGGGAAGGGGAATGGCGGATTGCTTGGAAGGTAGAGAGAGCAAGCGGAGGAGAATCGGACGAAATGTTCCAGGCAGCGCGGTTGGCGAAGGCACGGTGAGGCAAGGTACGGAAATCCCCGTAGCTCCGAACTGTTCACGACGACCATGAGCAGTGCATGGCGTGTCACAAGATGTTCCGAGTTTTGAATCGGTTAGCTGAGTTCTTAAACGATTTCTCTGGGTTTCAGGCGAACACGATCACTCACATGTCACCCCTGCTGTCAGTCACCACTGCTGTGGCAAATGCCAAAGCTGCTGCTGGTTGCGTGGTGTTCAGCATAGCGTCTCCTATAGGTCAGCGAATTCTAGCGCAGAACTCCTGGCAACTCCAGCAAGAGTGCGTTTGCTCCCTGATAATGTAACTCGAGCGACATCTGCGACGTTTGCGACAGCCGCTTTGCTGTTTCACTCTGGGGCCTCCAGTGCGTCCTCACTTTCGGCGAACAGGCTGGAGAAACGACTATGCTGCCATGCCACCAACCAACCGGCGAGAAAGTGACTTCACTTTCATCCACTAGACTCGATGACTCGATGACACTTGCGACCAGCGAGGCATCAAGGCAGCCAATCGTAACACTCCATTCGCCGCAGCAACATCCATTCCCTCCCCGCTAAGGTTGACCATCCATCCACCCGCCACGGAATAAAATCTGCGCGTAAGCACCGCACGGAATCCCCCACCCACGCCTGCTTTGATTCGACATGCCATGGCGCAGCCATGTCTTGGAATGACGCGCAGGTGCGTCCGTTCCGCCTGACGCTAAGCTTTCTGTGTGGCTGGCATTTGGGTGCTCAAAAGGGCGACAGGAAGAAACACCACGCCCCAATGGGAGGCTTTCGCGCCAAGCTGAAGCATTTGAAATTTCGATTTCTTGAATGCGGAAATCGAGAATTGGATGTAAAAGCTGATTCACATAACTCCGTCAATTTTTCTACGTTGACATTCACGGATGTACTCAGCACCCAGCATTCTGAAACCTCAAGCATTCCGCTTGTATCGAAGATAAGGCCTTTGCTGAACATCCTCGTCACATCAGCCTTGACCCAGCTTTCGGTACACGTGGCCTGAGAGGGTCTAATAGCGAGCCACGTCGACTCCCCTTCCCCACAAACACCTTCGGCATTCTCCAGGCCAGTTTCACGCACAAATCTTCAGGTTCTCCCACCTGTGCAAATGCAGTGTACTGTAGTATCAATCTACTACCTGGCCCTTGGCGTTTCAGAGTGAACTTCCTGCATTGTGCAGATTCCTAAAATTTGTTCAGTGATTCCGTGTCAGTGAAGTTCCTCTGACGACCTTAGCCTGACACGGAAAACTAGGTCTGATCTGCTGGGCTTTTGCAACAATGATCGGGCTCGTCTCTCCCGCTCGTTTGCAGATTGCACCAGTGGCTAGTCAGGGATGCAGGAGCAAACGCATTTCTCGATGGAATTCCGACAGCTTCTCTAGATTCGTCGCCAGACCACCTGCCGTTGTTGAGCGTTCGGCTTTCAAATGTCGTCAGCTGGCAGTGCGATCAGGGCCGAACGATGAGGTAAGAGCATGAACAAGCACAGGAAAACCCAGTCGGAGAGTATGAGGTATGAGGAGACGACATTAAATAGTTGGAAATAGTCTAAATGAGAAGAATGTAACAGCAAGCAGAAAAATGGGTACCGTGACATATTCATCAGCACAAATGAGCATGCCTGTTAATGACTTCAATGTGTACCAAATAACAAGTGCATGGATCGATCCCAGCCCCACCCGTTGCTGTCATCGATCCCAGCCCCACCCGTTGATGTCATCGATCCCAGCCCCACCCGTTGATGTCATCGATCCCAGCCCCACCCGTTGCGAGTGACATCGACATCCCTTCTGCTGTTTCCGTCGTTTCAGGCGTCAGTCACGCCAGAAAAAACGGTGCAGCAGCAACAGACGGATGTGGAGAAGGAAGAGCTGGCAGCGAGGCTAGCGGCGGCGGAGGCGGAGGCAGCGGCGCTGCGGCTGGAGTTGGAGCAGCGGCGGCTGGAGAAGGCGGACAATCTGATCCGCATGAAGCCCAACAGCGACGTGTACATCGACGGCACCGGCGCGCGCGAAACCATCTTCCAAGGACCCGTCGTCACCGGTACTTGCCTTCTCCAATCACAAGCCCCACTCCCTTCCACCATTTCCCCGCTTCTCCTCTCCCCCTTATCACCCAAACCATTTCCTCGTCACCTGAGTTCTATTTTCGCATCGTTCCTCCATGCTCCCCGTCTCGCGTCCGTCTCGTTCCCGGGAAACTCCCCGTCGCCTGACGCCGTCTCGCCCTTCTCTTTATGCTTGTCGTTATGCGCGGCGCTCGTCCCGCAGGTGGCAAGAAGGGAGCAGTGCGGTCGTGGGGATTCACGGAGACGGAGCTACTGAGCGCGCAGGCCGGCGGCGAGGGGGACGGCGAGCTGGACGGCAAGGAGAGAGACGGCATCGTGACGCGGCGGCTGCTCATTGGTGCCGGCCTCGCTGTGCTCGCACTTCCTGTCGCTCTGGTATGGCACAATTCATCGCGCCCCTTGTACTCACTTCACTCACACGATCTATCGTCCCTCCCATCCAAATTCTTTCCTGTACGTTTCTCTTTCTGCACCTGCCCCTGACTCCCCCTCTTCCAAGTGCCACATTCCGGTCATCGTTCCTTTCAGATGCTCCCTGAATTTACTTTCAACTCTTCTCCTATCTCTGGTCCTCCCACTCCCACCCCCACTCCCACCCCCACCCCCACTCCCATCCCCACCCCCACTCCCACCCCCACTACAAACCCCATCCCCACCCCCACTCCCATCCCCACCCCCACCCCCACCCTCATCCCCACTCCCATCCCCACTCCCACCCCCATTCCCAACCCGGCCAGTACGACATTCCGCTCACAGTGGCCCCTCCCACCAAGCCTCTCTTCTTCTACGTCGTGCCACTTGTCCGCCTGCAATTGGCTCTCCAGGCCATCGTTTCACAAGCAGACTCGCTTGGTCAGTACTTGCTACCAGTGTGGAGGTGGGAGCTTGCTGTGCAGTGGGGGGTGCTTGTTGCGTTGTGGGGAGGGGAGTGGGGGCCGCTTGTTGCATTGGAAGGGGAGCGCTTGTTGCTGTCCTCATCCTTGAGCCTCCTTCTCAGCCATCTTATGCAGCGTTGGGACTCACTGCCCATGCAACAATATGTGCCTATCTCCTCGTGTGTGTCTCCCTGCTTGTGTGTGCCTCTCCTCATCGGTGCATCGGTGCCAGATGTTGTGTCTCTGCGCTCGCAGCTGCGCTTTGCAGTGGGCACTGTCGACACCGTCAGGGAAAATCTTGTTAGGTACGCAACTGTAGAGTAGACTCCTCAGAGTTTGTTGTCTCTCATTGTGATTACTACCCCTCCCCCGCCCCCCACCCTCCTCGACTCATTTTCTGCTCTCACCCTGCCAATTGTTAAGGAATTGATTTCCCTGTGCGCGATTTCGTATACCACCCCCTTCGCGTTTCTTTGAAGGCCACCTTTTGCTGCCACATCCTTTATCCAGAATCCGCCCTTTCACATAATGCATCCATCCTCCTTGCACTTTCCCATCCATCCTCCTTGTACATTCCTATCCATCCTCCTTGCACATTCCCATCCATCCTCCTTGCACTTTCCCATCCATCCTCCCTTGCTCATTCCCATCAATCCTCCCTTGCTCATTCCCATCCTTCCTCCCTTGCACATTCCCATCCATCCTCCCTTGCACATTCCCATCCATCCTCCCTTGCACATTCCCATCCATCCTCCCTTGCACATTCCCATCCATCCTCCTTGCACATTCCCATCCATCCTCCCTTGCACATTCCCATCCATCCTCCCTTGCACATTCCCATCCATCCTCCCTTGCACATTCCCATCCATCCTCCCTTGCACATTCCCATCCATCCTCCCTTGCACATTCCCATCCATCCTCCTTTGCACATTCCCATCCATCCTCCGTTGCACATTCCCATCCATCCTCCTTGCACTTTCCCATCCATCCTCCCTTGCACATTCCCATCCATCCTCCTTGCACTTTCCCATCCATCCTCCTTGCACTTTCCCATCCATCCTCCCTTGCACATTCCCATCCATCCTCCTTGCACATTCCCATCCATCCTCCCTTGCGCATTCCCATCCATCCTCCCTTGCACATTCCCATCCATCCTCCTTGCACATTCCCATCCATCCTCCCTTGCACATTCCCATCCATCCTCCCTTGTACATTCCCATCCATCCTCCCTTGCACATTCCCATCCATCCTCCCTTGCACATTCCCATCCATCCTCCCTTGCACATTCCCATCCATCCTCCCTTGCACATTCCCATCCATCCTCCTTGCACATTCCCATCCATCCTCCCTTGCACATTCCCAACCATCCTCCTTGCACATTCCCATCCATCCTCCCTTGCGCATTCCCATCCATCCTCCCTTGCACATTCCCATCCATCCTCCTTGCACATTCCCATCCATCCTCCCTTGCACATTCCCATCCATCCTCCCTTGTACATTCCCATCCATCCTCCCTTGCACATTCCCATCCATCCTCCCTTGCACATTCCCATCCATCCTCCCTTGCACATTCCCATCCATCCTCCCTTGCACATTCCCATCCATCCTCCCTTGCACATTCCCATCCATCCTCCTTGCACTTTCCCATCCATCCTCCCTTGCACATTCCCATCCATCCTCCTTGCACTTTCCCATCCATCCTCCTTGCACTTTCCCATCCATCCTCCCTTGCACATTCCCATCCATCCTCCTTGCACATTCCCATCCATCCTCCCTTGCGCATTCCCATCCATCCTCCCTTGCACATTCCCATCCATCCTCCTTGCACATTCCCATCCATCCTCCCTTGCACATTCCCATCCATCCTCCCTTGTACATTCCCATCCATCCTCCCTTGCACATTCCCATCCATCCTCCCTTGCACATTCCCATCCATCCTCCCTTGCACATTCCCATCCATCCTCCTTGCACATTCCCATCCATCCTCCCTTGCACATTCCCAACCATCCTCCTTGCACATTCCCATCCATCCTCCCTTGCGCATTCCCATCCATCCTCCCTTGCACATTCCCATCCATCCTCCTTGCACATTCCCATCCATCCTCCCTTGCACATTCCCATCCATCCTCCCTTGTACATTCCCATCCATCCTCCCTTGCACATTCCCATCCATCCTCCCTTGCACATTCCCATCCATCCTCCCTTGCACATTCCCATCCATCCTCCCTTGCACATTCCCATCCATCCTCCCTTGCACTTTCCCATCCATCCTCCCTTGCACATTCCCATCCATCCTCCCTTGCACATTCCCATCCATCCTCCCTTGCACATTCCCATCCATCCTCCCTTGCACTTTCCCATCCATCCTCCCTTGCACATTCCCATCCATCCTCCCTTGCACTTTCCCATCCATCCTCCCTTGCACTTTCCCATCCATCCTCCTTGCACTTTCCCATCCATCCTCCACATTCCCATCCATCCTCCCTTGCACTTTCCCATCCATCCTCCTTGCACTTTCCCATCCATCCTCCATTGCCTGTGCCTCTGCAGCACTACTGTCCTTCTAGAGGACAAGTCACAGCAGCCAGCAAAAGAACTCGCGTTTGAGATCATAGACTACCTGCAGCAGGTGTGTGTTCAGAATCTCACTCTCACCTCCGCACTCCCTTACTGCGATGCAAACTCACTCTTCCCAGACACCTATCAATCTTTTTACAGTGAAAGGCCCTCCCTCTCTAACCTTCATTGGTTGTGTCCTATGTTGCATGCGTGCTCCTGAGTGAATGCAGGCGGATTACGGAAATTATTTCGAGAACATGGGTTCTCCAAGCCCATCACAACAGTAAGCCATGCCTGATCGTCTAATGTTCCTAGACATACAGTACTGCTGGTCTTCTGTTCTCTTATCCATTTATGCTCACCGCAGTTTGACTTCCGTTGTGTGCGCAGGTTGGAGTTCCTCTCATTCAGCGTCAAGTCTATCAAGGTGTGTATCATGTACCCTCCCACCTGACCTCATTATGGTTTAGCAGCAGCATTTCTTCTTCCGTCAGTTTGTTCTCGTGCTTCCTAAATTGCTGTATTTGTTATCATCCAGGCTGCCATTTCAAGATTGGACAAGTTCCTTCGATATGTTCCATCGGAGGTTGTCGAAGCAGCAAATCAGCAAGTGAACCCGGGTTTCAACATTCCTGAAGTCACAGGGCCAGAGGCTTCCACAGAAGGTTCTACCGTCACTGCTACACAGATGGACGAGGCTTAGCGAGCAGAAAGCCGTGACATGTTAAGCTTGCAGGAGAGACTCGTACTTACAAGTGATCTCTTCCCTTGGCACCTTCAATATTGGAATAAGGTATGTGCTAGGCCTTCTGAGTGTAGGAAGAAGCTACGATATAGGAAGGATTTCAAATCAGTTAAGAGATTGACTCTTCATGGATAGTACTGGTAGAAATGAGCACCATTTTAAATGGTTTGATAGAAAATGAATCGAGGTTACAGCTGCAACTGATTTATTGAATTATGACAAGCTCTACTAAGTAGGTGTACAGCCAGCTTTCAACATTGTCTTCAAGTGGGTGTCATGTACTGATACTGCATTTCAAATGTTTGCATCGTATGATACTTCTGCATGTCAAAGTGCATCTGCCTGCTAGGGAGGGGCCCAAATGGTCTCTAAGCTGAGGAGCACTAACCTTTTCCACCAAGAGTAACAACAAGTCACACATCAGGCACCGATCTTCTTCCACTACTCAACTCAGAGGGGTTCGAAGCACCCTGCATATACTACTTGGAGAACTGAACTATTCTGCAGCAGCAGGTGTACTTCATGACCTGCATGTGGGCTTCTCAGCTGCCGTAATGTCATAATTCTGGTGAGGTTAACCTCTGCCTGTTCAGGCGTCACATTGGCTCGGATTTAAGCAGGGGGAGCGGGAGCCGCTGCGGCAGGTGCAGCGGCAGCGTCAGGCGCAGCAGCAGGAGCAGCGGCGGGAGCAGCGGCAGCGGCAGGCGCAGCAGCGGCAGCAGGCGCAGCAGCGGCGGCAGGCGCAGCAGCGGCGGCAGGCGCAGCAGCGGCGGCAGGCGCAGCAGCGGCTGCAGGTGCAGCGACAGCAGCGAGCGCGGCAGTAGCAGCAGAAAGCGCAGAAGCAGCCGGAGACGGAGCAGGCGCTGGCGCACCAGGAATCACCTGCAGGAGGAAAAAGGGTAAATTAGGTATTATCTAGATGCGAAAGCAACGAAACGGGGTATCATGCTTCTTACCTTCTCAGCTTGACTGAGAAGATCCCCGAGCACCTTGGCCTCGTCGTCAAAGCCAGCCTTTTTCACCGCCTGCGCACGTCCAGGGAAAACGGTGAGTTAAATTTCGCGATTACGGGGATGAATCGGGTAGTAATAACAAATCAACAGCACTAACCTCGTTACATTGTGCAACAGCTACCGCTGCTTTCGCTTTTTCAACATAGCCAGCTGCATCCGTCAGCGAGATGCCACCGATGCTGAAGCCCTCGGCTGCGGGCGCGGCTGCGGGCGCGGCTGCGGGCGCTGCCTGCAAAGAAGAGCAGAAGCTGCTGTTAAAAACTCGCGCTTCGAGTAATACGAACGCGTGCCCTAACCACAACCAAAGTAATATTGCTTACTTCCGCCTTCGTCTCCGTAGCGGCGCTAACAAGGGAAGCGGCCTTGTTGAAGAAATCCATGCTGGAAAACTCGGAGGGGAGAAGGAATCAAGCGGAGGAAATGACCGAAAATGAGCTGTGGCGTCCTTTCCGCAGTGAGACCTGAAAAAGACAATCTGAAGTTGAGATGTCACAATGCTGTGCAATGAAGTCCTCTCTGAGGTTGAAATGTCAAAAGCTGTTGGTTGATTGTGACTCTTTGGTTCTTGCAGCTTGGTCGGTCCAGAACTGTAACGTGAGCCACAGAGCAAAGGGCTGACTGACTTCGGTTGGGTTCAGCAGAACACAGTCAGGTATGGCCGAGTCTCAATTGCGGCAAGGGCGTTTTCGTAACAGCGGGTTATCAGACCAGCCAAAGTAATGTTTCCGTTGAATAATTATGTAATCGAACGGTAGACAATGGTCCTGCAATACTTCAGCCACATGTCTGGTACAGATTCTTGCAGACGGAGGATAACTCGAGATTTTTTAGGAAGTCAAAGTGTCGACAACTGGCGAAACCACACCAGTGGGAACCGAACCAGAACCACTGATGAACCGCCTTCACCGACCAATCAAACTGGCGCACGAAAGGCCAGACCACTTTCAGCCAAATCTACCCAACCAAACCCAGAGGGCCAAATATCCCAGAGCAGGCTACAAGTTGCCACGTCACGAGATTGTCTTGCGCGCTCATTGGCTTGAGTCAGGGCTGCGCACCCAAAAATGTGACGAAGTGCCATTCTGTAGGAAGATGGTTACAGAATTCACTGCCACGGGGGACCAAGATAGCGATTTCGCCTTTCTGCCCTTTCGCACCAACAAGGAATTTCACCCAGAAACGGAACTGCTTCCACTGCGAACCAGTCTAGCTGAGAGAATTTCTCCAGACCCGGAAACGGTGATTTGCCGTTGCACACGTGGCCTCGAATTGCTACCGTGGTCGGACAATTCGATGATAATTGCTCGAGTGGTCTTGCCAGAGGTTTCCTCTGGCTTTTTTTTTTTTTTAATCCGGCACATTACCCAAAACCGGTTTTTAGTCCTGCTTTTCTTACGTCGTTCGTGTCTCTTCCCGCAAAAACGTGGCGTGTGATTTTCCGCCCGAAATTTTCGGCTGGGTGACGTGCGCGAGGGCGGCCACGTCACCGTTCGAATACACGACAATAATCAACACGATCATCTTGGGCGAACAGTCGCGCTCATTTTCGGTCCAATTCTTGACCAATCCGCGCATAGAGATATGAATCCCCGATCATATACTCAGTTGGACGACTGTCCAGATGCGCGACCAATTACAGAGCGCGTCTAATTGGTCGAATTTATGCGCATAGTACTTTTTTACCTTGCGCGTCCAATCAGGCGCGGTCATGTAAGATCGCGCTCATATAAAACCGCGCATTTACCTATATGAGCGCGCATATGTGGTGCTCGAATGTGTGTGCGATCTATTTTATTAATATAAAACTATATTGATAAAATCGAGAGACGTTCACTACCGGCGTTTTGCCAATGTATCTATATAACACTGTACGTTCCTGTCAAACATTATATATGTTATACTTGTGTAGGCTATAGTGGGTTAGCCTATAGGGGGTACACAATTCTAGGGTTTACTACTTGTACTCTTTTCACTTCTAGTTGATCCATTCCTGTTCGCTTATTCTCACATGGTATAGAGCGGGTCCTTCTACGGACCGTTTTTTTTTTTGGCCCACCGAAGCGCCCCCCGAGGCGCGATCTTTTTTTTTAGCGACCCCTCGGGTCGCCATTTCCCCTGCGGCCCCGCCGCCTTCACTGACGCGGCCCCGCCGCCCTCTCTGTCGCGGCCCCGCCGCCTGCTCTCACGCGGCCCCGCCCCGGCTCCTTCGCGGCCCCGCCGCCTGCTCTCGCGCGGCCCCGCCCCGGCTTCTACGCGGCCCCGCCCCGGCTTTCACGCGGCCCCGCCGACGGCTTTGTCGCGGCCCCGCCCAGGCCCTTATGCGGCTCCGCCGCCTGCTCTCACGCGGCCCCGCCCCGGCTCCTTCGCGGCCCCGCCGCCTGCTCTCGCGCGGCCCCGCCCCGGCTTTCACGCGGCCCCGCCGACGGCTTTGTCGCGGCCCCGCCCAGGCCCTTACGCGGCTCCGCCGCCTGCTCTCACGCGGCCCCGCCCCGGCTCCTTCGCGGCCCCGCCGCCTGCTCTCGCGCGGCCCCGCCCCGGCTTCTACGCGGCCCCGCCCCGGCTTTCACGCGGCCCCGCCGACGGCTCTGTCACGGCCCCGCCCAGGCCCTTACGCGGCCCCGCCGCCTGCCCCCGTCGCGGCCCGGTCACCTCCTGACGGCCCCGCCGTCCTTTCGTGACGGCCCCGCCGTCCCTTCCTGACGGCCCCGCCGTCCCCTCCTGACGGCTCCTGCCGTCCCCTTCTACCGGCCCCGCAACTGCACCTGCTGGCCCCGCCGCTGCACCTACCGGCCCCCCCACCACCCACCCCCCCTTTTCCCGTCGCCCGTCGCGGCTCCTTCGGGGGCCGCAAGCGGCCCCCTCAGGTCGCCTCGACAGGGGACCTGAGAGGCCAGCAAAGGGGTGGCAAGTGTGTGGCCTCCCCTGCTTCTCCTCCTCCTTCCTCTCCCACTGCAGCAGCCGAGCCGCTCACCTGCAGCAGCCGAGCCGCCCCACAGCCGAGCCGCCCTGCCGCCGAGCCGCCGGGTCGCTGAGCTGCTGAGCTGCAGTTGCTGCCGAGCCACCCTGCCGCCGAGCCGCCGAGTCACCGAGCTGCTGAGCTGCAGTTGCTGCTGAGCCGCCTTGCCGCCGAGCCGCCCGAGTCGCCCGAGCCGCCGAGCCGCCGAGCTGCCGAGCTGCTGAGTCGCC